CGGGGGTTCCGGGGCCGATAAATCTTCATCAGGCGGCGGCGGGGGGGCCATTAGGCGCTAATGGGAAGATGGAGGGGCCTGTCGGCCGCGCGGGCCGGGCCTCATTTGTCCTGCTTCCCGCTCCATTGGCCGCCGCCCCCGTCCCGCCCCGCCCCTCCCCCGCCGCAGCCGCTCGCCCCATTTCCGCTCCAAATCTTGGCGAGAGACTTTGTTGGGGGGCCCCTGGGGGGAGAAGAAAGAAGGATTCGGAATGCAGGGGCAGAATTAGCAAAGCAGGCGGGGGCCCGGGGCGTGAAGAGGCAGGGGACCGGCGGCCGGGACGGCTTAGACCGCGGGCGGCTGGGGCAGAAGGCGGGCGCAGGGCGGGCGCCGCGAGGGAAGTGAACAGCGCTCCCTGGAGGGCGCGGGACGCCGAGGGGCTGCGGGAGGGGGCGCTGGCACAAGGCAGGGGCAGGATTGGAATTGGGCCGAGGTCGGAACGCGGGCCCCGACCTGCAGGGCGGGCGCCCGGGAAGGTCCCCCGAGGCCGAGGCGCGGCCCCCACCCGTCGCCGCCGCTGCCCGCTCCCGGACTCGCGCCCCCCGCGCGTCCACTCTGATTTCTCGGCCCATTTTTCTTCCTCTCCTGTCACTCCGGCGCTCGCCCTCCCGCCGCCGGCTGCCCCGCCGCGCTCCGCTTCCCGCGGGAACCCCCGCTGCAGCCGCTCCCGGGCCCGCTTCACCCTCCGCGACCCCCGCAGCCCTCCTCCGGACCACGCGGCCTAGGCGCGTGACACCCTCCCCCCAAGTCGTCCCCAGACGTCTTATCTCCGGGTCACAGGAGCCCAGCCTTGGAGGTCAGCAGTGGGCTGGGACGCCCCACCTCCAAATGGTGGACCCAGGTCTCTAGCACTGCTGGGCCCCAGTGTCAGATTCCTCTAAAGGAGCAGTGTAGATACCCACAAATCAGACCTGTGAGCCTCCCTCAGAAGGCCCCAGGTCAGACCTAGACCTCCAGCTGGATCATCCCACATCACGTGAATACAACCCAGAGTCAGAAACACCGGGACACCTGGGCCTGTAACCCCAGCACTTGGAGGCTGAGGCAGGAGGATTGACACCAGCTGGAGGCCATCCTGGCCTATACAGTGAGTTCAAATCCAGCCTGAGCTACATAGCAAGACCCTGTCTCAAAAAAATAAAAAATAAAAAATCAAAGACTGTACCCCGGTTTCACACACCCCAAAATGAGGATTCTGGGCTCTGGTCCAGCTCATCTCTACACAAGACCTCCAGGCCACAACATTCATGACACAAGTGAAATGGGCCTTAGCTTAGTCATCCCTAAATGAGTACTAGTAATTTCCTGAGTCACCCAGGAATTAGGCAATCACCCCAAAATTAAGGCATCAAAATTGGCACACCTAAATTAGGCTTTCCTCACTGAACTGTAACAAGCATCAGGAACCCGCAGTAAATTACCCATGATCTGAACAAATGGGCCCTAGCACTCCATTTACCATGTGACTCCCTTTCTCAAACTAGAATATGGGATTGACAGGTACACACCTGTGATCTCAGCACTCTAGGAGGCTGAGGCAGGAGGATCCAAAGTTTGAGGTCAGCCTGGGCAATTTAGCAATTTATTGAGGCCCTGTCTCAAAATAAAAAGGGCTTGTGATGTAACTCAGTAGTAGAGCACTTGCCTAGCTTGTATGAGGCCCTGGTTTCAATTTTCAGCATCAGGAGAAAAAAAGATATGTGTACTTCGTAAGCCCCAGAACTTCCTAATGTGAGGTTATTAGGATAAGGGTCTTTGCAGATGTAATTAAGAGGGTGTGTGCGTGTGTGTGTGTGTGTGTGTGTGTGTGTGTGGTACTGAGGATCAAACCCAGGGGTGCTTTACCACTGATCTATATCCCCAGCCATTTTCAGTTTTATTTTGAGACAAGGTCTTGCTAAGTTGCCCAGGCTGGGCTAGAACTTGCAATCCTCCAGCCTGAGTAACCCAAGTAGCCGGGATTACAGGCCTCTGCCACTGGACCCAGCTAAGGGAAGGCTCTTGAGATTAGGGCATCTTGGATTTCCTGCACCAGCCCTAAAGTCACTGATGTGTGTTCTGATAAAGGACAGAAGAGAAGACAGGGACAGACAGGAGAGCAGAAACCCATGTGAAGTTGAGGCCAGAAGGCTGTAGCCACAGGTCCAGTGATCCTGGGAGCCACTGGGAGCTAGAAGAGGCAGGAAAGGACCCTCCTCTGGAGCCTACAGGGACCTGTCACACTTTAATTTGGGGCTTCAAGCCTCCAGAACTTTGAGAAAAAATTTCTGCTGCATTAAGCCACAAAGACTGGTACACCAGCCACATATGATGTCCCAACCAAGCCTCTGGGCCCCTAGGCTGATTCAGTGATTTCCCCCCCACCCCTCAAAAATAAAGATGTGGCTCACAGTTACGTGTCCCAAACTAGCTTCAGTTCCCCAGAGTAGGCTTCTGGATCTCAGATCAATGATCCAGCTTAGTAGCATCAGGGACCCAAAGTCACTTCCAAATTTGTTAGTTATGTCCAGAGTCTCATTCAGTTCCACAGCACATGTATGGATTCACAACCACCACTGAAATAAGCAACAGGACCCTCCTGCACCACTACAGCCTCCCCAGCAGACACCTGACTTGGGAGATAGCAGTAAAGGAGGCAGCTGGACCTCCAGGCTCAGGACCTCTAAAGTAAAATAAGCATTCAGGCCTCTCTAGTGTTAAACTCTAATTTCTGCATCTGAGCCCCCAAATCATTCCCCCTTGAACTAGGTGCCAAGACCCTGAAATTAAGCCACTCCTAATTTAGACTTCTGGGCTCCCCAGGACTTGGGGCTCCCTGTCAGTTATCCCTAACTAGGCATCTGGAGGATTAGCCTGGGACACCCCATATCAGGCAAACTCCATCATGCCTAAACTAGATACAAGGAACAACAGGCACCTCAATGGATCTTGAGGCTTAATGAGCCCCAAATCAAATGGAAGTATTAGGAATTCATAACTAGGAACCCCAAAACTAGGCATCTGGTCATCTCATTCCAAAATGTTCCCCTCTCACATGAATGACAACCCCCCCAGGAAGCACCTGCTGACGCTGGGCCCACCAAGGTGGCCACCGCTCAACTTGACAATAGACATTTGTACTCCCAGCTGGTCACCCTACTCTCAACATTTGGGCAGTGTATGTTAGGCCCACTTTAGTTTAACCCCTAAATTAGACACTTGTGTTTGCCTCAGCTATTCACAAACTAAACCTACTTGGAACCTAAGCCCCAAATTCACTCACCCCAATCTAGGGATCTGAGCTTGCAGCCCCAGAACCCCCATCTTGACAGTGTGGTAAGTCACCTCTAAGTTGGATTTAGGGCCCAAGCCTTTGTCAGTCCTCAAATTAGGATTTAGGCCAAAGTCTCTTGCCTCTGCCTTCAGGGCCCCTCCATGAGTGAAGCAGAGAGTGACTCAAACTAAGCATCGTGACTCCACACCCTCCACAAACTCAGCATCTAGCCTCCTAGGCACAGATTCCCCCTAAACCAGGGTCTGGGACTCAGGCTCAGTGATCCCCAAACTAGGCATGAGAACTCTAAAGTGTAGTCAGCTCTGAAGTAATCAACAAGACTTCAGAATCAGCACCTGGACTGCTAAACCCAGTCACCATCGCCAAACCATAAAGCCAGGTACCCTAAATTTGGCAGGTGAATCTCCAGACTCACAGCAAACTTGGCAGGTGAAACTCCACAGGAAGTCACTTCTCATCTAGACATTAGGTCCCCAACTGTCACTTGTCATCACTAATATGAACATGGGTAGCCCCCCCATGCCCCTGAAATGCTGCAGACATCTAGAGGCCAGCTCTATGCCACCCACATCAGGAAGCTTGTCCCCAAATACCCATGACATGGCAGGAGGGACTCCGGTCACCTCAAACTCATTTTTTTTTTTTCTTCTAGAGATTCAACCCACTGAGCTACATTCCAGCCTTTTTTTTCTTTTCTTTTTCTAGACTTTTAAAATATTGGCTATAGATTTTGCTGCCTGCTGCACGAGCGCAAGGACCGGAGTTCGATCCCCGGTACCCCCTCCCAAAAAAAATTGGCTATAGAAATTAATGGGTTTCATGCTGGCAGGCAGATTTGTACATGCACATAACATACTTTGGTCATTCTCACCACTCCTTCCTTGCCTTGTCCTCCCCACTAGCTTCACATTTTGGGGGAATTTCAAAGCATACAATGTATTTATATAGGTGTATAATATTCTTTGGTCATTATCCATCCTCCCATTTCCCACTCTTACACCCCTCCTCCCCTTATTCCCATCCTCTTATCTAATAATAGTCTCCCTTCTACTTTTTTTTGGTACCAGGGATCGAACTCAGGACCTTGCACTTGCAAGGCAGGCAGTGGAACAACTGAGCTAAATCTCTGGCCCAGTACCTGTTTTTTTTGTGGGGTTTTTTTTGGTACCGGGGATCGAACTCAGGTCCTTGCAGTACCTGGTATTTTTTAATGGCGCTAATCTCTTCAGCAACCAGACCTCCTTTGGCCACAACTTTACACCTGTTTCTTTGTTGGGCCAAAATTTAGGTTTTTCAAATATTCCTGCCAGGCTTTTTGCTCCTAATTCTCACGATAAATCTGGCTAAAAGCAGTCAGCAGTACTCATGCTACAGCCTGAATGTTGGACTGCCTTAATTCCTCTGCCAGATCAATTAGTCTGCCTTTACATTCAGCCTTATACAAGTCTTAGGACATAGACAAAATGAAGACAAAATTTTTGCCAGAGTATAGTACATAAGGCCTGTAGTCCAAATCCCCATAAAGTCCCTGTTCCCATCTGAAACCTCATGAGCCTGGCCTTTACTGTCCACATTCCTATC